GGGGAGAGTTGTACTCCGGCAGCCGATGGTTTTGGGGAAAGGTAGCTACCAACCGAACTTAGAAAGTTTGCTCAGTGGTGGGTTCTCTTCTCTCTGGTCCAGCTGTAAGAAGGTACACATTCCTGCATCCGGGGGCAATGCCAATATCAATTTACACTTCATTATATCACTGTTTCATTTTCGTTATTATTTCAATATATTGTCAATTATATTGCATAATTATTGTATATTTACAAAATGAAATAAATTGTTTACAGTGAAATATTTGAGAGAAGTTACACCATACTTCCGAAAAGCCAGTATAATATCGGAAGTCGGGTGGGAATTGCAACGAGGCTTTCTGACGGGAGAGCCGCCAACACATCGATCACCACAGCAACGTGCTGACACGAGATACTTGCCCCTCCAGCTGTGTTATTTGGTGCGAAATCTTCGACATCATGATCCAGGTAAGATGATAGAAATAAGCCCGCGTCAGACTAATCACATCAACAAATTGTTGTGATTAATAATTTTCTCAGATTTTTAAGAGTTCATAAAACTTAGCTGTTGCTTGCTTAAACCGCAGTAAATTTCAACAGTTATCGCTTCGAAAAGCATATGTGCGAGAGAACGTTGAAAGAATAATACCACCAGATGAGGTGGGTCTGTCCACGTCCTCACGGGGTTGCAGAGAAGGCTCTCGCGTTGTATTCTCCATCATCATTCACTTGCTCTTCATTTCATATGTCACCTTCACTCTATTATCACATTTTCTTCACTATCCTGCTCTGTGGTGAACGCCCACCCATGTGTTCGAAATGAATGGCGATCTACCGTGAAGGGAATGAGTTGTGTCGGTTGAAGGCTGTTTGTTTCCAATTCCTTTCATGGTGCTACCCTAAAGAAAACGATACGAAGGTAGCCATCTAATGGGATTGAGTTACCGGTCTTGGATAGTCTTTCATCCGCTGCTAGAGTGCCCCACGTCGCGAAACAAGAACTACGCTGCCTGAAGGTGGATGCTCTGGAGGATGCTCCCACTCGGACATATCGCTGAAGTATTTTGTGACTTCATGGTCTTAAAACGGTCGCCATTTTGAGAGGGGCAGATCGAGAGAACTTATTTCGGTAGAAAAGTATTCACTAAGTTCACTTGACGAGAAAGTAATTTACCAGATTTTTGTAATAATCTGTGAAAGCTAATTTTGCTATAAATACGTTTTTGTATACCTCACTTGCAGAAGAAATGAATTGAAGTGCAAAATAAGACATCAATAAAGATATTTTATATGGGGCCCCCGGTGTTATATGCAGCACTAACTTGGTCTCTGACAAAAATGCATTATAAGCGCGCCGTCTGTGAAAGAAAAATTGAAAAAAGATATTACATATATTAATAAAAAATAAACGAAACAATAAGAAAAATACTAAATTAAGAGGCCACGTCGCCATACAACTAAATGGGCACAATTCACCACTACTTGGGATCAACGTTTCGAGAGAATATGTGGGAAGACCCAATTTACCCAATTCGACTACTTTTTTGTGTTAATTTTTTTCTGAACAAATATGTTCATTTATTTTGTAAATAATTTCCATGTTTCTGGAGTGTTTGTGTTTCTGAAATGCAAATTTTTGCATATAATGTATTTTTCAAACCAACTTTCGAGTGCGTATTGCGGCTCAGCTATTCGGAAGGAATGGCTATTACACAAAATATTGTCTTAGTTTATTTTCGAAGTTTCAACGTTCTTGCCAGGACACTGACATTTCTTAATAATTACTTCTGTGTCGTTGGGTAAGTAGTAGCATCTGCATTTCCGAATTCCTTTGGTCTCTACCCAGACATCCTGCCGCTGCGTTGCATTAATTTTTTATACTGAGGGTATTGTTGGGAATGGTTTTTATGCCCGTCATGTGGTAGCTTGGTACCAGGCAGTATGATTCTGCTTTTAGTAAAATTCACTCTATTAGAATTATACCTTGTTAACCGCTTGCGTGAACAAATTTTGTTCTTTTTTCCTCTTCCTAGGATAATTTGGCGAGCTTTCGCGTGCATTTTGTTGACTGTTTCTCGAGCTGCTCTTGGTACGCCGCACATTCCTTACTCCCCTGTGCGTGACACAGGACCTTGGCGATCTCCTTGCATATAACATATTCTGATTCATTTTCGTATTCTCTAGATTTGTGCCCTTATTTTCGATATCTCTATGCTTCTTTTCTACCGGGGCCAGAGTGGCGTGCTGCAGTATGACCATAGTATCACCGAGTAATTACTCTTCTCACTTATACCACAGTAGATCCACGTAATTCTGACTTTCCCTTTTCCCCTTTACTTCCCTATTTCTGCGCCAACAGCACAACTGCAGCTGTGAGAGGATAGTTTTTATTGGAAGTATATTAGTTCCACATCTTCAATTGTGGTCTCGTCCATGTCTGTTTATTTCTATATTTTTCATCTTCGTGCGTGATTTTACTTCCGCCTTTCCTTCAATACTCCCATGAATTGGCTGAAGGATTCAGCTTTTCCCCTTTCTTTTTATGGTGATGAGATCACTTTTCTTAGTTTTTCGTTAATGATGCAATTTCGGTTCCGCATTCATTCGCGTTTAAGTAGCTTATGTATTTAAAAAGGCGTTGGCACGTCTGCAACACTATCCAACCGCGGGTAACTTAATTGATTTCAAGAGATGCAGAGCGAATGCGAAGAGAACTAGTTTAGAAAGGAAAAATGCATCGTGGAGGGCATCCGTGTCCTCCCTCAATTGCCATACGCCACTACGTCTGCTGTGGAAGAAGATACGCAAAGTGCAGGGATATTCCTGTCCACATTCATAGCCAGGTCTTCTGAGAATGGTGAGACGATTACAACTATAATTCTAGAGGAACTTGTCGCTCATTATGAAAAGTCGAGTTCGGCGAACTATGCAACACACTTTTGCTCAAAGAAAGAATGGAAAACCGCGCTTTGGATTTTGCCAGCAGAGCTCCTGAGGAGGATTACAATACCCTATTCTCCATGTGTAAGATGCGCTTGCGAAAGCAACCGCCCTATGTCCAGACCCAATCCACAACCTAATACTGCAACATCTCGAAACGGCCATTAATTTCTCCTCAACATAGTCTCTACAATCGTATATGGAAAGCGCAAACCATCCGTGCCATGTGGAGAGAAGCCAACGTCCCGGTTCCTACTGAAGGGAAAGATCGATCATTGCCAACAAGCAAACGACTCGTCTCTTTCACAAGCAGTGTTTGTAAGGTGCTGCAATGTATGGTGAATCGTTTGGTCTGTTCCATGGAGTGTAAAAATCTGTCCGCAATACTGCAATCCAAACTAGTTTAGAAGAAACGGTCAGCCTTGGACCAACCCGTTGACAACAGCAGTACTTACATCGTCTTCAGGTAACAGCTTAGGCAAACTTATTTGACACAGAAGAGGCATACAACACAACCTTGAGGTACATTATAAGAACCCTCAATTCGTGGGAATTTAGAGGGAAGCTTCGTCTATTATTCCAAAATTCATTTTTTGGTGGCAGGCTTTCAGGCAGTTCCTTCTAGAAAATGGTATCCCCCAAGAATCGGTTCTGGGTGTCACCGCCATAAATGTTATAGCATGGTTAGATTCCCATTGCTCTTAATGGTATTTGGTATGTGTGTGGGTGATTGTGCCATCTTTTGTTCGTCCAGCAGGATCAATGTGATCCAGATGCAACTTAAGCTGGTGATCAACAAGCTCCACCTATGGAGCATGTCAACTGTGTTGAACTTCCCTACTACTAAATCTACTGGTGTGCATTTCTGCTGGATATACCATGTTAAGAATGTGTGTGGATCTGGAGTGCTGCTAGAAACAAATGCACATTGTTTCACAAAGGGTACCTTTACTATTCACTGTCGAAAAGGATCATTACACTGCTTTACACTTGGAATAGGCACACAACGCAAACAACTGGCATGATTATCAAAGAATACAAAGCAATGGGAGCGGGAGATGTGAGAAAGAAAAGTTCTATTTACTCCCAACTCTTCCCCTTAAATAAACAATGCTATACGCATGGCAGATTATGAAGCCAAACTACTCAAAACACTGATCTCATTTGTAACATTTCCAAGCGCTTCGAGTATTTCGGTTTTGGCAGAGCTCTGGTGTTAGCGGGCTTGTCCCCAGAGGATAAGTGCATCACTTCTATTTCTTGGACTACAAACGTTCACGTACAAAATGATGCTATGTTTGGTGCGTCCTTGGAACACTGGATTGGTGGCTAATTTTGAGCTACCTTGTAAATTTTTACAGCCGTTGTTCCTTTCACGTCCTTCTCTTCCAAGAATCGTTGAAGATAGACCGCCTCCTTAGCAGCTTCTCCAGACTCATATACTCTGGTTCGGTCGAGGAGAGCAACTGTTCTTTGTTTTCTGGGTCCTTGGACAAGGCGTCTCCATTCCAGGTGAATATGTAGCCAGTGAATGAACGCCTATCTAGACTTCCTCTCCAGTCTGCATCTGCGTATCCGGTGTGGTCGGTTTGCTCGGATTTGAAACGGTAGCCCAGATTCAAAGTTCCCTTAAGGTGCCGAAGTTCCCTTTTTGGCTGCTGCATAGTGACTCACGCTATATCAATAATATATTGGCTCAGTGCACTGGCGGCATGGGACATATCCTGTCGGGTGGGGACATCCCGATACATCAGGGCACCCACCTGCTCGCAATATGGCGGTTCATCACCGTTGAATTTCTTCCATTTCTCTGACGTGGGTAACAGGTTACATAGTGACGTAGCTATAGGGTTGTAGTCCAGCATCCCAAAACGTCTAAGTATACACTAGATGTATGTACTCTGAGCGATAGCAATTACATTTTTGTTTCTAGTGAACTTCATGCCTAGACAATGTTTTAAATCGCCCAGTTCGTTCAACTCAAATATTTGTTTCAGAACTCTCTACAACTACTGATATCCTCCAAGTTCCGAGACATGACTATGATATCGTCAACGTACACTACGATGAGTTGATGCCCATTGTTTCTTCAAAAAACAAAACGCTCCTTGTCGAAACGTCTGTGCCACACTCGATCTGCCTGACGCAACCCATGGAGTATTTTATTTATGTAACAAACCTTGTTAAATTTCTTCTTGGACAACGTCTCGAGTATATCTTCAGCCTTCTACGTAAAGTCGCTATTCTTTCGCTCCTTCCGGATGACCATCTCCAACATATACTCTGTGTTTTCTGGTCCCTCCAGGAATACCTCTTTCCTGGACGCCGTTGAGGTACGCTGTTGGTATGTTGATGTGCTAAATATGTATGGACTGCAATAGCTCCAGTTCACCGAATCGATTTATTACGCGCGACAGACGCGAACGTATCCCGGAAATCGGGCCCAGGACGTTGAGAAAAACTTGTGCTCCGAATCGTGATTTCCTCTTTTCTAGCTTTCTGTTGACCCAACACTTGGCGTAACACAA